GACTTAGGGGGAGAGGGCGGGGCAAGGGCAACATATGTAATCTAAACATCTGTACCCCCATAGTGTGCTCAAATAAACAAACAAAAAAAGGCATATACAAGAACATCCATAGCAGCAATCTTAAAAATAGCAAAACTTTGCAAACTGTCAATCAACTGTAGAATGCACAAACTGTTGTATATTAATAGAAAGGAATACTGGATAGCAATGGGAATAAATTAACTGCAATTATAAAAAAAATTGTGTAACTGGGTCTTGACATAACTTAATTTTTCTTAATAAAACTGGTGGAAATAACTACACTAGTTAATTTAGAAAGCTATGATGATATCTTTACATAACATACCTTTGCACAAGCACTATCCTTAGTGATCTGTAGTATACATCATTTTGATTGTATTGAGATCTGCATGGGCACTGAATGTCAGTCAGCTTCCATTCAGGTCTACACACTGTGGAGCTTCTGTGCTGTGGGTCTGTTTAGTGATTTCCCTGCCTTCCACCCTCTATTGCATCTACAACTGTTATTTGGTGTACATTATTTCATTCTATTATTTCTGATAGTGACAGACCAAAAACATCAGAAGCCGCTGTGTCTGGAGGAGATTGCGAGGTGGAGAAGCCAGAGTTTCTCAAACACTTGCCACGAAATCTCTGAGTTTGGCTCCTCCATCAGTTGTCCTGAACAACATGCACCTCTGCAGCGACGGAAAGGGGACAACCCTGCCTTTTATTTTATACGCTTGGGCTGCAATCCAGTGCAATTAAACCAGAATGTCCAGGGTGGGTAGCGGAAAGAGGAAGGCTAAAGAACATTTTATTTTTATCTCTCTCAATTGTCCAAAGTCCACTCAGAAGACAACATCAGTGGACCTAGGTGATTCACCACTTTATATGTCAAAGAGCACACACTGAAATAGAGTATTATAAAAGCCTTGGAGTGCAAATTCACAGTTGTCTTGGTAAGAAGAAAAGGCTGCAATGGACCCAGCTGTGGTTCTGGTGCTCTGTCTCTCCAGTTTGCTTCTCCTCTTCCTCTGGAGACAGAGCTCTGGGAGAGGGAAGCTCCCTCCTGGCCCCACTCCTCTCCCAATTATTGGAAATATCCTACAGTTTGATGTTAAAAACATCAAGAAAGCTATCAGCAATGTAAGTATGCTTTA